GGATTGTGAGATGAGATCACTGTTAGATTGGTTGACCTTTTAGATCTTGCTCTCGCTTCTTGAATATATATATATATATATATATATATATATATATATATATATATATTTTTATATACGTTTTTAATGTTTTAATGATGATATAAAACATTTTTTTTTAACTGCAGTCACCCCCAAGCAAGGCATTAAAGCCACAATGGTTTGCAGAGTGTGGAAGAATTAGAAAAGAGAAACATTACTAAGAATTGAGGATCAGAAGAAGATCAAGCGTAGTAACTGATATTGCATTTAAATGTTTGAAGATGAAAGTTGGCTAGAAAGCATGGAGCCGGAAGGGAGTTCCACAGGCGAGAAGGGCGAGAGAAGAAACTGTTAGCATAGAACCTACGGCTACGTCTAGCCAGCTCTACTGTAAATTGATGAACTCTTGACGCCAGTCTAGTACTGCGCTTAAATTAATAGAGTCTAGGCACCATAGTGAAGAGCTCACCCGAACAATTAACATGGAAGTATCTTTTTTTTAAAAAAAAGCCACAGAGAGGAACTTTACGGCGGTTGGTACATGACTGAAGCAGAGCCGCCAAATCAAGACCAATGATATTGCAAATTCTCTCGCACGACAGAATGAAGAGACTTTCATAAGAGCTGAACTAGCAATGGATTCAATATAGTCTTTCCACTTCATGTCAATAGAGAACGTTAGCCCGAGAAAACGCATCGAGTCACTTTCCTGAAGGTTAGCATCAGCCATGCTGAGGTAAGGCAGAGAGAGGTCCTGCAGATGACTAATGCCAAGAAGTTTAGTTTCTATGTCGTTAAAATTGACAAGCCATCTTATACCTCAGTTAACGATGGGTCAGCTGCCATTTTGACCTTGTCGGACTGATCAGCCTTATTATTGAGGCAAGAGTAAATGGTAGTGTCATCAGTGTATATGCCAAGTTGAGAGCTGATATCATCAGAAAGGTCGTTAATGAAAATTAAAAACAGCGTAGAATCAAGGACGGAGACACGGCAGACACCCGCGTTAGGATGAAAGGATCTAGACGTTGTCTTTCAGGATAACGTTCATTTCACAATTTAATAGGAAAGACTGGATCAGCTCAAAGATGTGTCCGGAGACATCGTAACTTTTCAGCTTATCGAAAAGACCTGTATGCCGGACCCTGGTTTTCGTGATGTCCAATATTACAGCCCGGGCTTCGCCGATTTTATCTAAAGAATGGTAGACTCGTTCCACAATTATCGTCTGCACATCGGCAGTTGACCTTGAGAAACGAAAGCCCTATTGCATGTCTGAGAAAAAGCCGTGTGATGAGAAATTCAGCATTGATTAAAGCCTGTAGGAGTTTCCCCAAAAGTTACGTATGATGTTCGTGTTCTCCGGCAATATTGAGTTTGGTACGATTCTATACTGGTTTATATATGTCCGTATTGAGCTCTGGTCGGAGGTATGTAGAGTCAGTCGTCTTGACATTCGAGTGCCCAACATAATTATTTATGGATCTGTTTTTATAGAAAACGTTGTTCTATATTCATAATGTTGGTTTGGTAGTGTCTTGACTTTGTCGACGGGATCTCTTTCTCAAATATATATATATATATATATATATATATATATATATATATATATATATATATATATGAAAATTTCTCGGAGTTAACCCGTAGAAAAGACAATATTTATAAATATAAATAACAATAGGAAAACTGTGGTTATTGCTGACGCGTTTCGTCCAATGTGGACATTCTCAAAGAAAAAAAAAAAACGAAATGTATTTAATTAAAGAAAATAACTAATAATAACCAAAAACAGAATGGTCTTAGCAACTGGAGGAATGTACAAAACGCTATTTTCATATTGTTAACTGAAAATAAAGTCAGTTATTGCCACGTGTAGAGAATATTGTCATTATAGTTGTGTTGGCGGATTCAACCGTTTTCTTTTGATTTTACGATATTGTTGTGTACGTTTGTTTGGGAGAGCAGTAATTTTAATAAACAACTTAGCTAATGCACTAGTCACACATAGAAATAAATTCAACCATAATTTTGATTTTAAAAATGCTACACTCATAAAAAAAGAAAATAACTCACTCAGAAGGAAAATTCTAGAGAGTGCCTAGAATATTACCCAAATTCTAGAGAGTGCCTAGAATATTACCCACAATTCTAGAGAGTGCCTAGAATATTACCCAAATTCTAGAGAGTGTCTGGAATATTACCCACAATTATAGAGAGTACCTAGAATATTACCCAAAATTCTTGAGAGTGTCTAGAATATTACCCAAATTATAGAGAGTGCTTAGAATATTACCCACAATTCTAGAGAGTGCCTAGAATATTACCCACAATTCTAGAGAGTGCCTAGAATATTACCCAAATTCTAGAGAGTGCCTAGAATATTACCCAAAATTCTTGAGAGTGCCTAGAATATTACCCAAATATTAATTTACGCCCAGGCCTTTTCCCTATTTCAACTTTTTAAACAAAATTAATGCCCTGGTTTTTAATATCATAATTCCCAGTCTGATAGGTTTGAGGGACTGGTTTTCTGAATTTTTTAAATGACGTTTTCCGTTACATTACGTTATTGCCTTGATTTGGGGGGGGGACACATTTTTTTCAGTTTCTTCATAACTACGTAACGCAATTTTAAACTCAGTGAAAGTTAATTGTTTATCTTTTTGAGTGATAACTGTCGTGAATGGTTTGAATGTCGGTGGTAAACTCTTTAAGACCATGGCTATTAGCAGCCCATCTCTCCTGCAATTTTTAAGGCATTTGTGACATTCTCAGCTCGAATAATATAATCTGTTACAGATTCATTTTCTCGTCTCTTTAACGCAGTTAGTTCAGTATATAAAGCAATAATTTTAGGCTTAGCTTTTGACGAGTAGTGTTCACGCGAAATTTGTAGAACTCGCCGTCCATTGTCCTTATTATCAAAGACAAACTACTGTCATCCAGGAATTGTATTACTTCAGCGAACACGGTTTTTTTTTTTCCATAAAATCATCATCCCCGTTCTGGTCCTCTTCGCAAAGGATGATGTCATGGAGTTTTTATATTCTAAGTTAGCCTAAGAACTTCGTCTCCCGCAATTCATATCTCGATTCATTCCCGTCAAAATATAGTCGTGGTCTGGGCTCATAACCAATGTTGTTCATGATGACGGTCGTCTTTGAGTATAGAATCCAGAGGTTAGCAGTGAATATTTCGAAGACAGTAGGGAAGCGTAGTTCAGGTTAGCAGTGGATATCCCGGTAAAGTAGCAGAGCGTAGTTCTTCCTTCTGTTCCTTTTCGCCTGACAAGCTGGCACAGGACATTCGGATAGAGTAAACAAAATTGCCGCCTTTATACACGACGGATTGAATATTCTACGTCTTCTCATTGGCTAACCTTCTACTGGTGGACTATAAAGTGAGTCAAGTCATTTGGGCTAGCTCACTAGTAAATAATATACACAAAAAACTGCAACAACTACCATGTCAATAAGAAAGGACATCCTGTTCTTTTATGATGTCTGGGCGATTAGATTTGATTGTTCTGTCTGTCTGTGTGTATATTATAAAGTCCCATAAAATTGTTACAGGTCCGATCTCATTGTGTGATGGTCATACCAGTTTCTTGCAGTTGCCTTACCGGAAAAGTGGCATATTTTCCAGTGCATATATTGGCCCATCATTCTATCATACCAAGTTTTATATTCAGTAATTGGTTAACAAGCATTGGTCCTTTTCAGTAAGAATAAACCCTGCACTGATGGAGACGGGGTTTGTCTATGTCACCTTGTTTGCTACGGGCAGAGTATTGACCATGAAGAGGTTTATCTTGCCATCGTTTCGACATTTGGTACATTGCATTTTGCTTTCTTTTTAGGTTCTTTGCTACTACAGTAGGTGTATTACGATTTATTTGTACTTCTTCACCCACTTGAAGTTCCCTTTTCAATTTATCGGTCTCCTTTATTACTGAATATTTGACATTGGGGATCTACGGACAGCAATCCAGGACCGAACAATGTCGAAAGGGTGGCCGAAAAATGCTGATAACAATTACTGAATAAAGTTTCTTAATTCCTTCATGTTCTTTGGCACAGAACATCATCTAGTTTTCTATAGTTTCCAGGCATCTTTGAATGCCGATTTTGGTTGTTTTTCAGACTTTGAACTAATCCTCTGTCTTCTTCGGATGTGGACACATACAGACGTTGAATATTAGAATCATGCATACGGTGCCAAGTGAGGACCTTATTCATTTTGATATCCATTCGCTTAATGTTAGCTATGGTCCAATTAAGGATGTTGAAACTGTACTGCACCACACTGTTTATGACTGATATTCTATTTTGTGATTCCAACTCATGATTTAACAGCAGACGCTTTAGAATTCTTTTCTTACTGTCTCCTTCATCTGGGAATGCGGTATTTCATCTTCTTCGCTGACTCCTAGGTATTTATAGGCTTCTTCTTGTTCCAGTTCCCTAATCTTTGTGATAAAACCTAGATCTGTTGAGTGTGTTCCTGTAATTCTCTCTTCCTTAAATGTTACTTTCGCACATTTATCTAATCTGAAATCCATACCGATGTCATCACTGAAACATTTTCTCGTTTTGGGAGCATCCTTCAACTCATTGTCGTCTTTGGCAAAGATTATTATTATTATTATTATTATTATAAATAGTTGGGTATAGTATCTGTAAAATATGTTATAGAAAGCAGTACGTATTTCTAATTTCCTTTTATTGTCATTTGTTGGTGTCATGATTATGATTGTCATTAAAGATTTGACGCCGTCACATAACAATACGATAATTGCGCGAAGAAAATAAAAAAAATATGGGTCAAATCAAGAAATGACTATGGGCCGGCGCAACCCACATCCCGTGGTGGTGGGTGGGGACAGATCCTGTGACATTCTTGGATCTTATGGTACATTTATGACAAGATAAGTGAGTGAAGAGGAAGAAGAGGATGAGGGAGAAGAAATGATAATGTTAAAAAATATAATATACGAAAGAGAGTAAGAAAGAAAGGAAAAATGATTTTAAGAGGAGGAAGGTGAAAGAAAGCATAAAAAGGAAAAGGAAGAAAGAGAGTAGACAATTAATGAAAAACAAGAAAGAAAGACAGGAGAGAAAAAAGGAAGAAAGGAAAAAAGGAATAAATGCAGAATATATTGAAAAAAAAGACAGAAAGAAAGGCGAAAAGGAGAGTAGGAAATAGTAAAAGAAAGAAAGAAAGACAGACAGAAGAAAAACAGAAAGACTAACGAAAAAGAAAGAAAATGGAAGCAAAACAGTAGAAAATAATGAAAGAACGGAAGAAAAACTGATAGAACAAAAAAAAAGAAGACAACGGAGACAGGAGGAAAAATAAGAAGGACAACAGTGAAAGAAAGAAAGAAAGAAAGAAAGAAAGAAAGAAAGAAAGAAAGATTGATGAACAGACTTAAAGGAAGAAAAAAGAAAGACAGTACAAAAAGGAAAGACAAGAAAGAAAGATGGAAAATGGAAGAAGGAAAGTAGAAAATAGTGAAAAAAAGGGTAATAGAAAATAGTGGAAGAAAGAAAGAAAGAAAGAAAGAAAGGACTAAAAAGAAAGAGTACAGAAAAAGAAAGAAAAAGGAAGATGGGCGGTAGAAAATAGTGAAAGAAAGAAACATAGAGAGAACAAAAAAAGAGAACGATAACAGAGAAAGAAGGAAAAAAGAAAGAAGGAGAATAGAAAATAGTGAAAGAAAGAAAGAAAGAAAGAAAGAAAGAAAGAAAGAAAGAAAGAAAGAAAGAACAAAAAATATGGATAACGGAGAAAGGAGGAAAAAGAAAGAAGGGTAATAGAAAATAGTGAAAGAAAGAAAGAAAGAAAGAAAGAAAGAAAGAAAGAAAGAAAGAAAGAAAGATTACAGAGAAAGAAAGAAAAAGGAAGATGGGCGGTAGAAAATAGTGAAAGAAAGAAAGACAGAACAAAAACACAAAGATTAAAGAGAAAGAAAGAAAAAGGAAACAAGTCAGCAGAAAGTTATGAAAGAAAGAAAGAAAAAAAAAGAAGGAAAGAAAGACAGCCAGAACAAAAAAGGACAAAAGAGAAATAAGGAAAAAAAGGAAGAAAGACGGTACAAAATAATGAAAGAAAAAAGAAAGAACAAAAAAAGAAACACAACAGCAAAAGATGGAATAATGGAAGAAGGAGAGTAGAAAATAGTGAAAGAAAGAAAGAAAGAACAAAAAAGAAAGACAACAGAAAAAGAATTCAAAAGGGAAGAAGGAAAGTAGAAAATAGAGAATAAAAGAAAGAGACACAGCACAAAAATGAATGGCAAAAGTGAAAGAAAAAAAGAAAATAACGAAAGAAAGACAGAACAAAAAAGAGAAAAAAAGAAAGATGGAAAAAATGAATAAGTACAGTAGAATAGAAAGAAAGAAAGAAAGAAAGAAAGAAAGAAAGAAAGAAAGAAAGAAAACAAAAAGAGAAATCGGAGAAAGAAAGAAAATGGGTGGACAGTAGAAAGTATTAAAAGAAAGAAAAGAAGAGTAAGAGCACTGAAAGAAAAAAAAGAGAGACTGGGAAAAAAGAAAGAAAGAAAGAAAGAAAGAAAGGAAGAAAGAAAGAAAGAGAGAAAGAAAGAAAGAAAGAAAGAAAGAAAGAAAGAAAGAAAGAATTTAAGAGAAGGGCGTTGATAAAAGATTGACACGAAGAAGAAAAGAAAAGCAACCAAGAAAAATGCTCGATGCTAATAAAAGAATTTATTATTAGTATTATTATTATTAGTAGTAGTAGTAGTAGTAGTAGTAGTTGTTGTTGTTGTTGTTGTTGTGGAAAACATCACGTAAAAAATAAGGCTTGAGTATAAATCTACGAAGCCCAATGTACCCATCATGGCACTCAACCTGATAAGAGTATACCATGCACATGCACCATAGCCAAATATGTGCGATATGGTGACATGTTTTGATGCGGTAAAGTAATGGATAGCGGCTAGGATTGAGGAATCGGAGAGATGTGCATCATCTTCTTCTCCCAGCAACTATGGGTAAATTGCAGAACATACCGGGTTCTATACCCTTCGATGACAACTGGTCTACCGCAAGAAAGAAATGGCAACCTACTACGGAAAAAAATCCTCCTCGTCAGTCAAGTATCGAAAGGTATAGGATCGGCTATACGTGTATCACGCTTGGCACGTAACTGACATGGCATATCATTGCAAATACGGCTCAAAAAGATCTCCAAGAGAGTTAAACCGGTTCACTCAGATGGAGTCCAACTGAAGATGGTTATAATTATCTAGATGCCACTCTCACCTTGATTGACTAATTCTTCAATCATAAAAAAAAACTCTTGGCACTCGACTATGACGTTCCTTACTGCTCCCGCTGATGAACAGATATATACAGTTCATCAGCCTCTAGGCAACATGCTCAAGTTGTTAATGGCAGGTAACTGTCAAGCAAATCTGTCGGACTGAACGGGATATTTACTGTAGCCCATCTTAATTTACCAGAACAAAATATGTACACGTTGCCATCCTTTTTTAAAGAAATCATTTTACCCCATGTAAGGCATGAAAATAATCCGTAGGGTACGGTGATTCGAATAAGGTTTGGGAATTCCCAGTCAAATATTCAAAATGTTGTATTTTTATTTGTAGTGAATCAACTTACATTTTCTTTTTCTTTAAATTTCTTCTTTATTTTTTTTAAAGCAATTCACCCCAGGCAAGGCGGGAGTGCCACTAGCACGCAAGGTGTTACAGAGGATTGAGACCAAGAGTAAAGAGGCATGTTTGAGGAAAGGATACACAGAAGGACGGGGAACAAGATCAAGGTATCACATGTCGATTGACATTCCACTTGAATATTTGAAAATTATAGTCATCGGGGAAGCATGCAAGAGGAAGGGAGTTCCACAGATGAGAAGTGCGGGAGAAGAAGCTGTTGGAGTAGAAGAGAACCGTTTTGACAGTGAAAGGGTGGGATCGAGATACCAGCCTAGTAGCTCGCTTAAATTCATGCAGTCTGGGAACCAGCGAAAATAACTCGTCGGAACAGTTGCCGTGAAAATACTTGTAGAAGAGACAGAGGGAAGCCTCTGTAGACTAGATGCTAGATCAGGACCTATCATATTGCATATTCGTCTCTGGATTTTGTCGAGGACCTCGAGACGTACAGCGGGGGCACAGTTTTCTTTGTTATTCGGTACTATTTTTCTCAGCCTTTACCAATTACTATACAGGGTGTCCCCAAAATTTGAAATTATTTTGCAGAACAATAATTTTGGTAATTCTTGTTGGAATAACCTCAAATTTTCACAGAATGTATAGAAACAGATCAAGATTTTGCATTTAATGCTTTATTTTTGTTATCTCAAAAAGGATCCGCTAGAGAGATGGTTCGGGCGTGGTGGAGATGAAGACAGTTTTCTAATGAAATGGCCGCCGCGGTCACCGGACATGTCCCCATGTGATTTCTTTTTATGTGGGATATGTGAAAGGATTGGTGTATGCCCCCCTCTTCCTGCTAGCATTGATGAACTCAAGCAGAGAATCACTTCCGCATTAGATATTGTTACCGTAGACATGCTACAGCGTATTTGGCAAGAGCTTAACTATCGATTTGACATGTGCCGTATCACAAGCGGTGCACATGTTCAACAATTATGAAATCGCTCCCATATAGAAAAAAAAAATCAGGACTGCTAAAGTTGAGTGCCGTGGCTCCTTTTATATCCAGCTCCGTTGACGTGTCGTGAGACGGCGCAGTTTACGTGGTGCTTCGAGCTTCGAAATTACTTCCAGCAATCTGCCTTTCGAGCAATTGATAGTCCGAGAAATTATTTTTCGAGCAATTGATTTCGAGTAATTTACCAATTGCCTGATTCTATGACTATTTACAGAGTTTTCATATACCGCCTATCTGGCATTTTTCCAAAGTCTCAACGACTTACGACCACATTACTTTGAAATACCGGTTGTCGTACGAAAGTGGAAGTTAAGTAACGTCAAGCCTGGTCAGTAAGTAGATGAGTGATCGCTTAGGAATACCGGGTGCTGTAAGGTTACATGTGCGGGTGCTGTAATGGATAACCTCCCGGAATTATTAATTGGAGAGGCGTGTTCCAATTCCAGTTGGGTTTATTATAGTCACTTATGCGTAAATACCCTTGCGAAATGTAAGAATCCACTTCTTCTCTCCCCAAATATGGGTTAATTAGTAAGATTTATATCACTGCAACCATTATTATCCCCCCCCAAAAAAATGCGTACAATATATTTAGATTTCGACATTAAAATAACCCGTAGATTTTGATATGCTGCTAAACAAAAATAACGCCCCCCCCCCAAAAAATGAGCTGTATGGATGTCTTCTTCGGGATCATCCTATATTTCTGCGATGAGGTATTGTAATTATTTACATCATTTACATTGTTCGGACTGTTGTCCTCATATTTATTGCCATATTCACGACATTTCGGCCGTTGTACGCTCCGGTCTTCTTCGGGATCATCCTATATTTCTGAGATGAGGTATTGTAATTATTTACATTATTTACTTTGTTCGGGCTGTTGTCCTCATCTTTATTGTCATATTCACGACGTTTCGACCGTTGTACGCTCCGGCCTTTTTCGGGTAATTGAAATGTTTGAACTGAACCCTTCATTTCGTCTAATCTATTAAATGATTAAAAGAAAATTAGGACGTGAATATGCCTACCTGGAGTAATACAGGTTAGATTGAAAAGGCAATGCCACAAGGAAATTAAACACGGGATGAATTTATAGTGTTTACGAGATTGTTACATATGTCTGACCGACGTTCTACAAAGATGTATGCAAAGTTTATGCAAAATGCTGCGTGAAATGCTAAGCAAGGAGCAGCAATGATACGACTGTCCCATCTAAACTTTCCCATGAGATCAGACAAGATAGAACAATCCGTTGCCTCTGATAGATATGAAGATCGTAAGCGAGACTTTGTTATACTGGTAAAATGAAGAACGTAAGAAATAAAACTGAAAATGTAAGAAAGAAATTTGGAAGACTGAGTATGAATGTACGGATTTGTTGAAAGTCCGCATACGTATACCGGAAGCCGAGTTTATGTATCTGGAATACTATGAGATAAAAAGTCCGAACACATATACCGGAAAGAGGCTGTTTGTAATTGAAATATTATGTGAGAAAAAGTCCGTACGCGTATACCGGAAGCTGTTTTTTTAACCGAAATATTACGAAATAAAACGTCTGAACAGATATATCGGAAACGGGCTGTTTGTAATTGAAATATTATGAGTGAAAAAGTCCATACACGTGTATACCGGAAGCCGGGCTTATGTAAATGGAATGCTATGAGATAAAACGTCTGAACACATTTATGGAAACAGGCTGTTTGTAATTGAAATATTACGAGTGAAAAAGTCCGTACACGTGTATAACGGAAGCCGGGTTTATGTAAATGGAATGCTATGAGATAAAACGTCTGAACACATATATGGAAACAGGCTGTTTGTAATTGGAATATTATGTGAGAAAAAGTCCGTACACGTGTATACCGGAAGCCGGGTTTATATAAATGGAACGCTATGAGATAAAACGTCTGAACACATATACCGGAAACAGAATATTTGTTATTGAAATATTATGAGAAAGGAGTCCCAACACGTATACCAGAAGTCGGGTTTTATAAATTAAATTTGAGAAAAAATTTACTTATTCTACAGGTATAGCTTGTTCTCGTGCCAATTAAACTCCTAGACTCTTGTAGCCTACTGGATTAAAACAGAGTTTAGGATTTTTGTGGCATAGTAATTCTGACTCCAATCCCTTGGCAGCATAGTGAAGACTTCTTGGAAACAGATCGAGCATTTGCTAAGCAGTACCGAATATAAACTAGACGGGATATCCATAGGTTTGGACGGCAAGAGCGAGATTAATATACCCCTGTGAATTAAATGAAAAGTACATTCCGAAATTTCCTGAAAGTTATGCAAATTAACAGACAGCCGCAGAAGGCAGGCGCAAACATCGGCCAAAACGTTGTGATAACAAAAGCAAAGATGAGGACAATTGTCCAAATGTAAATAATGTCGATAAGATTTACAATTATCGTCAGTAATCGAAAAATGGCTTCATGCGTCAAAATAATTCCCGTGGTCACCGAAGTACGTCAATGCTCTAATTGACTTACCCTCACTTGAATTCATTCACCCGTTTAGTCTTTTCTTTTTACTTCTCGCATTTGTCCGGGACATGACTTATAGAAATACCTCTCAATTATTCTCTAATCAGAATCTGCCGAACAGAAGATATTGTTCTATGCGACCATTTAAGTTTATCATGTTAACACATCTTCGCAAGAATTTCTATCGACAGACATTGTTTTTTTGTTTTTTTTTGTTTTTTGTCTAGGTCTAATATAAATAACTTATTTACCTTATGCTCGACAAATAACCAGTTAAATAAAACTCCTAGTATTGTTCTTAATCAAAGAAACTATGATGTTTATTATAACAATCTTATTTAAAGATAAAGCTAAATAAATATTCAAAATTCGTCCTACATACAACGGTTTAAACTCGATACCTTCGTTAACAAAATGAATATATGCCCTAAAATTAATGAAAAACTAAGTTTTTTAATCAAAATCTTTAGTTCTTATTCAGAGGAAATAACAAAGGATCTTTCGATTATTTAATTATACTTTTTGATTTTTCTAGGGTTAATTTGCAGTTTAGC